TTCTCTCTCTCTCTCTCTCTCTCTCTCTCTCTCTCTCTCTCTCTCTCTCTCTCTCCCTCTCTCTTCGCATGCTTCACGAGTGTGTGACACTCGGGTGGTCGATCGCTCGGATTCCCCTAAACAAAGCACGCGCGTTCTCGCGACGATTCGATCGGTGTACAGAAAGGCACGCAATGAAAAGTTGGAAGGATATCCAGGAGAGACGGAAGCGTGAGAGATGTCTCCCCCACGTTCTCCGTGCTTTTTTTTTTCTCTTTCGAGTGTCCAAGTTTCCGCAGTGCTTGGAATGTGAGGAAGCTTTTCGATCGCGCGAGGGGCGTCCGGAAAACAGCATTCTGATCGTAACCAGCTGTCGAATTTTCTCCTCGAATTGACGCGATTTCGTGGTAACGTCGATTTTCTCGAATGTGCTTAAACGAGACTATCTAACGCAAAACGAATAGAAAAGATAATTGTAACAGGGATTCGCGAGGCGCTTTACGCACGTTTATAATTCGCAATGGATAGCACTTCTCTTGCGCTTAATATCGCAATTAACGGTATTGAAGCTTAAAGGCGATATCGATGCATTTTATAGAACTAGACATCATACGCAGATATCATAAAACCGATCTCTTCGCGCATTTCTAGTTGTATTACATCTGAGAGAAATAAATGTACAGAGGCAAACGCATCTTTCTTCGCACAAACGCACGCACGCACGCACACACATACAAACACACACGCGATATAACACGCACATCCATCGAGTAAATTTCATTCGGATCGCCCACATTGCATTTCGCTAGAGCATTTCGCTTGCGAACTGTTACTTCGTACGTGCGATCTCACAATGCGCTATTATATTAATTTTTTGCAAATTACATCTGGAGATGACTATCGAATTTTCACAGCGATCACGTATTCGAAATTCTCTCTTTGATTATCGTGAGAAATTGGAACGGAAGTTTACTTGTCAGAAAGGAGCGTATTGAAAAAAGAAAAATAACGTCAAAGAAATTCGCCAAAACGATGCGCATTATATACTCCTCAAATTTTATTAATTTGGAAACATAATAAACTATCTTCAACAATTCATATTTTTGCCAATAACATACGCTATCTAACAATGTATACATGAACACTCTAAAAATAACAAGACTAATAAACAAATCTTCTCAATTCTCCTGACACTGATATAAAAATATCGTGTAAATTAGGAAGCGTTATATAATTAACTAAAAGCACACAACTTAGTCGATCGCAAAATCCGATCTGTACTGTAAGCGCTTCTACGAATGTGAATCGCGAAACATATACATTTTTAATTCCAATTGAAAAACTCAACATATTTTTGAATAAAAATTTCTCAACCGTGAGATTATATCCGCATTCCGTATTTAGGGCATTCGTTTATTCTCAGAAGTTCTTTCTACAATCATTAATCCTTTTTTTATCGTTCTTCGAATGTTTTGAAACATCTAGACCTCATTTCCTAGCCGGTTGCTTTTGCTTTTACTTATCGTAGGTATGTTTATTGTTTAAGAGATGTGTATATAAAAAAATATGAATCGTCTCGTTTCTTCTATTAGAGGTAGATACGCAGGAAACAGAAGCGATATTCTTACGTTCTTTTTTCCACTTTTTCCCTTTTTTTTTGTTTCTTTTCGGGTGCACTTGACTGGTTTTTTTTAATGCGCCAGGTCGTCTCTCTCGCGGTTTAAAAGCAATCCTCTTCTCCGCAATTCACGCGTTATTCAAAAGTATCGCCTAAATCAGCACTTCATGAAGTGCACAATGTAACAATCTTACCACACTGTTAGAGCACACTTAGATAAAAGATAACTATGATTAATTGCCGCAAGAGAGAGAAACAAAATTTGGATTAAACACGAATCTACAGATATTTTGTAAAATAGTTACGTGGCATCTGGTGCAATAATCCAACAATTTCTATCTACGGCACTTAAGGCGCCAACTAATTTTAATTTTACTTACATATATTTCTATTATATAATAAAATATTAGCTGGTCTATATATATATATATATATATATATATATATATATATATATATATATATGTATATATATGTATATGTATATATGTATATATACTACAAAGACACAAGAGCCTATAACAATAGGAAGTTACAATTTTTCCCTTACCTGACGATAAACACTTTTTTTTTATTGCAAAAGAATTAGTGTTCTACATTTGGTTAAGTCCAAACAAAACTAACACTGGTGTTGCGCACACATATATGAATAAGGGTGTTTATGCAAATATATACAATTACTGAATTGAAAGACAAACTATAAAAAAATGGAACGTTAATAGAAAGTTTGCAATGTTTGCGTATACAGTTATTTATGTACATAAATTCGAGAATGCAGAGTAGCGATACAAATAATTAATGAGCGTTAAAATATTCATTAAAGCATTATAAACAAAAATCAAGTAATATCGATTTCACTTTTTCTTTCGTTTTAATAGGAAAATGCGCTGTAGTTTAAACGGAACATTGAATCTCCTATTTTCGTCGTTTTCGCTAAATTGCTTTTATTGCATCTCGCTATTCCTCTTGAAACGCAAGACGGAAAGACGCTGCACCGTTTCCTCGAGCCTGATATCTCTGCTTATACGCTCTGGGATATATAACAAGATCGTACGATCATAACCATTCCCATCACATTTGTATTCAGCCAGTTTCAGCATCGTTATTTCCGATGGTCGAAACATGGTTTTGTAGTTGACCATCGACCGTGAAAACATCTCTCGCCAGCGACGTAAGCAGATGATCGAATGTTTAACGGCACAGATTCGCGTGAAATAGCAGCAACGCAACGACTGGCATCCCCGCACTAATGCGCAGTGGCAATGTTCTCGATGGCTGCGACGTTTCGCGCTAGTGTACATCGCTGGCCTGGCGTCAGTCAGAACCGCCGCTGCTATTACCGAAATATTCTCCGGCGTCACCACGGCATATCGGACACGTTCGATTAGACTGAAAAGATAAAATCATCGAATTTATAGAATTAAGTTGACACATAGAGGATTAAAATTGATATAGTTTTTAAAATGTTAAAAAACATTCGATTTACATCTTTCGAACTCATGTGACATTGTCAAATAAAAACTCTTTTGTTCTCATGTGACATTGTCGAATAAAAACTTATATAAGGTGAAAGGAAAAGAAAATAAATTTAACAAAGAAAGATAAAGCTTTATTTTTTTCAGAAAAATATATTGTTGATATAAAAAAGATATGATTATATGGTTTGTTAAATTCAAAAAGATATTGCGACTCACCTTAAGCCATTTATCAATGCACTTTGAATGAAACTCGTGAGAACACGGTAAAACACGTAATGACTGGAGGGCCTCGAAATCGCACATGCACACAACACAGTTAGTCTGATCGCCCTGGTGTGTTTCCGCGTTGAATTTGTAAGAGGGTAGCTGTTCGACTTCCGCGCGAGTCAAACCTCGCGGTTTTGCCTCCCCTAGTCTCTCGGCTAAGGATAGCAGCGCCTCGTAATTCTCCGTCACCGAATCCGGCGAAGATAATTCAGCCTGGTTGTAGGGAGATAGCGGTGGATTGCTGAACATCGCTCTGTAAAAATAAATATCGCCATACAGATTAAATCAGTATTTCGCACGTTTCCTTGAAATTATTATGATACATAGAAACTTTACGCACAGGAAGTGTAGTAAATATCCCGGATAAGCCATGGGTGGTAACTGAGTCGTGCTCCTCCATCTACCGAATCTCGGCCGTCGCAGAACGTTAGACGTCAGTCGCCGAGATCTGTTCTGTACAATCTCCAATTGACTATTTCGCGTCTCTGATAGGAATATGGGCGGCGGTGTCGTCACTGTCGGCGTAAGAGCCGGTGGGGAATACGAATGTGGTAATGGCAATGGCGCACCAGCTGCGGCGCCCACTCTGTGATGATGGGACTCTATCAGTTCCAGCTCGACATCTCTCTGGAAATATAAAAGAGAGAACGTTAAGAACTGCGCAAAAATATCGTAGCATAATAAAAAGCTTTTTTCTAAAAAATTATTATTGTTAACGTTTTCCTGAGAATTCTGATTAACGACATTTTACTTTTCTTGGAAGAATACAATTATGTCAAACAATGTATAGGTAAATTTTTGATAAAGTTTAAGATCGTCTGAGATACAATTTCGAAATATTATATGACATTTTCGCTATATTGACCGAGTAATCTTAAGACTACCCAAGATTAAATTTAGGATACTCTTGAGATAAGATAGGACTACGAAAACCAAAGATAAAGTTTTCCAAATTTACCTGCTGAGATAATTGATGATGTGCTGTGTAATCGGTGTGGACGGGCGGTGGACCTGCAGTGTGCAGACCTGCAACACCCCCGGCCGGTGGCGCGTACCCTCTGGGAGCGGCACCCACCAAAGAACCGACGATTCCATGACTTGGATGCGTCGGATGTGCAGCAGAATAATGATTGTGATGATGAGTCACCTGAATAAACGATGTCATGGTATAAAACATAAGATTTAGTTAATGGAAATAGCATTTATATCAGAGTTATAAATACAACGCAGTCTGCAAATAAGGGACGACCTGTGTATATAATAAAAAACTGAAGCAACCATTCGCTCAGTCATTCACGGTGGATGAACTCATAACCGACCTACCTGACACGAATGTCCAAACGGATGTGTTCCGTGTGGCGTATAGAGACTGTGGAGCTGACATGGGATTCTATAGCCAGTCGCCTGCGGATGCCACAGCGGCTCTCCACTAACGGCAACCCCTAGGCCAGATACCCCAACTTGACCCACGTCGACGACCACGGGGGCGTTCGTACCCTGCGCGGGATGATGCCCTGTGCCGCCTGCCGCCGGATGCGGATGGGGATGCGCCTGATGCGCATTATGGATGCTGTGGTGAGAGTTATGCAGTCCATGAGGGTGGGAACCATGGATGTTGTGATGCGAATTGTGGAGGCCGTGATTGTGGATGTTGTGAGGATTCGGCAGGAAAGGATAGGAGAGTCCGTACGATTCCAAGTATCGCTGATAACGATTCCTGACGGTTGGGCTGCCGCGGGTGGAGATGCGATTGCGAGGCGAACGTCGTTGTGGCGCACCCCCGAATTCCCAAGGCGGTGGGGTCGTGTGCAGGGGTGGCGTTGGCGCCGGCGGCGTCGTCTCTCGGACCTCTATACCAGACACAGTGCCGTTGCGAGAAATTCGACGACGCTTCCTCGACGGCGACTCGCTCTGGCAAAACATCGCGTTCCGTATCGCTTATTACTTATTCATTTACATTATGCAGAAAATGCCATTTGACTCTCAACTTCCCGGTGAAACATTAAAAAGCTTGCACTGATCATTTCAATTAATATTTATTTTCAGATCTGTATCTGGTCAAATTTTTAGATACTTCAGCAAAATTCTATTCTTTTCGCGCAAGCGTTCTCTCTTCAGAGAAAAAAAGAATATTGTGGGTCGTTAGAAAAATCTCTTAGAAGTCTACTTTTAGATTGTCGAACTGTCGAAATGTATAAATAATATTAAATGTATAAAATAATATTCATTTGATCGAAAGAGTTCAGTTCGTTGATTCTGTGTCAACCGTGACGTCACTATCAACGAATTTTTTTTTCTCGTGTAAATTATTCGATGGAAGATATGAATAAACGTATTGACATCGAGGTGTCATTTTAACTGTGTGATAAAAACGCGCGCAGAAAAAGAAAAAAAAGAAACAAGTGGACCAACACACACTCACTCACCTTTCTACCGTCGTCTTGACTAGGCTGCCTGTAGTACGGCGGCGACGGTTGGATCTGCACGGGACTCAGAGGTAGCTGATTCGTGGCTGAAAGCAAGAGTAACTTTACGTAACTTTCCCCGCGACATCCGATCATCCGACGAGAGACTGTCTCCACCTCACCGAATTAAACTGACACGACGAAAGAACAAAACAAAATAAAAAAAGAAAAAAGAAAGGAATTGCGCGGACTCGGACAATGAACTTCCGTCGCAGATGAATGGATGGACAGACCGGAGGACGGAACCAACGAGATACCTTGAGAATTCCTGCGGTACTCCATGTCTACTCCGCTGGCTCCGAGGCCGGGACTCATGTTCAGAATAGGGCCGCGCATCGTGTTCTCCTGAAATCACGAAGGTGGTTGAAATTAGACAACCCTCTTACGAGCGGAAGACGGAGGAGAAGGTAGAGGAAGAGATATGTTACTTGGCCGCAGATATTGATGTGCAACGGCGGCGAGTTGGCCGGCGGGCCAACCGGCTCCTGGGGGAAATGCGGCGGCGGGCCCCTCGTCTGCGGGCTGTGCTGCGGGGGCGGCTTATATCCCACGCTGCTTCCGCCCACGTTCCCGTGATAGGAAACCTCCTTGCCGGCCGGCCCGGAGGACGTGCCGACCCCGGGGCAATCCCTGCGTCGTGCATAAGAGAAAATATGAACTCGGGCTCTGTGCTGCGAGAGATACGCTGCCGAGAGTCGCGTGCACAGCACCGGTGCACCGGACGCACGCGCGCACGCACGCACGCACGCGCGCACGCACGCACGCGCGCACGCACGCACGCGCGCACGCACGCACGCGCGCACGCACGCACGCACGCACGCACGCACGCGCGCGCGCGCAGAGACGTGAACGGAAAATGCGTAATAAATCCGCGCGAGAGAGATACGCCGTTCCCCGCCGAGCGATAACTCGGTTATAAGTGCCGATACTGGCCGCGCTCGTAACCGGAGATGAGTCACGTACAGCTCGCCGCGGCGGCAGGACGAGGATCTCGGCCAACGCAGATCCCGCTGCCTCCGCGAGCCGAGCGATACCGCGGAGTTTTCTGCGTGCAAGAGGAGAAACGCTTAAAGGAGGAGTCGATCTTTTCCTCCTCGACAAGAGGAGTTTCGTAAGAAACTCGCGAGAACGACGGATCCTTTTTCCCTCAACAACGGATCGCGAACAACTAGTCTTCTCCTCTTCAAATTTGATCGCTACTTTCTTAATTACATTAAAACGAGAATTTATAACGTTATGCAAATTTGAAAGAGTTTCTCCGCGAATCTGTGTTTCTCGCTCGCGTTTCCACGTATTGATCCACGATGCGGATGCGGGGAAACGTGATCTATTACGACGTCTCTAATTAATTTTAGTCACTCGACTTGCTGCTGGCGTGCAAGGTCTCACCGGCGTGCGCCAAATTCGCAGGGAAAATCTTATTTCCGGGCCGGTAGACCCGGTTCGCCCGATCGAAAATCCTCCTCGAGGATCCCTTTCCCAGCCTCGCGTTTTTTCGAGCTCGAGCTAGCATTCCGGTGTTCCATTTCCTCATTCGCAAGAGAGCGCGCCGTCGCGCGATTTGCAACGTCGTGGATTCGCGGGCTTGCGACTCGAGCGATTAAGCAAGCGTCTTCTCGCGATGATTTATGAAAGTCGCCTGTCATCAGAATTGAAACGATAGCGATGTCTGCAACGGGAGGCGACGCGACGCAACACGACGCGTCTTACTCACATCATAAATAAGAACCGGACGGCCGCCGCCGCCGCCGCCGCCGCCGCCGCCGCCGCCGAAGATCGAATTGACAACGTCCTTGGTAAATCGCGACTGGTTTACTTTCGGAGAATTCGGGCTATATCGATGAAATAAGTCGCGGGTAAGACTGTTGCTCCCCGAGATTTTCGCGTCACGACATTTTACTTCGACCGAGATCAGAAATGTTCGCCGCGTTAAAGAGTCAAGGGCCGCGATTCAACGGTGAAACGGTCTGGTCACTGACATATTTATCAGCGCTATATCCGATTCCGTCTTCAACTTTCGGTTAACGGAACACGACGGCCGAATTCACGATGACGAATCCACGACCGAGGGAACACAATCCGTCCGACAGCGGCGGCAGGATGGTTATCTCCCGTCGTATTCACTTGACCTACAAGAATGGACGAATAAATTGGCCGTAATAGTTAACGATTCGACAAACTGGAGTGCCGGCGGTTTATTTATTTTTGTTGGCCGCGGATTTATTTATCGTTACACAATCGGCCCGTCGGAGCCCGGCTACCTTGTGAACGACGTCATAAAGAATATACGTATCAATGGAAACCGAACTGTAAACGTTATATAATGCACGACGTGACGTTCGTAAAATAGTCACACTACGCTCACTCGTAGTACATGATGTAACATAATGCTATTTACATAATTTCATCCGCGCGTTTGTACGGCTTTTGCCATCAATGTTGCACATTGTACTCGCAATTTGGTTAATGCATTTATATTTAATATCGCGTTATCGTACTCGAGTGTACTCGACTTTCCTGAGGAAGGACGTTTGCTCGATAATATTTCGTCAATTCATCATTCCTTTTATTTAATTTTATTGCCATAAAGTAGGACTTAAGTTTGATTCGAGTAAGTTGTACTTAAATACTGCCTAATACTCGATCCGGCGATAAAATAAAAAGAATAATATTAACAAAATATATCACTGAGCAATGTTTTCAACGGGAATCCTCGCGTTTTCTTACTCTTTTACCCTAACCCGCCACGTGTTAATGTATTTCCGAGAGAAGGAATCGAAATTGCCACGGTCGTAAGAAAGAGGAAAAATCTATACATGTGTACACTTGCACGAAACTGATAAGTATGCGCGAGCATGCCAAACAAGATAACCGGTGAAACATATAAACATGGCATAGAAAAAGTTGAGAAAAATAAAAATGTTAAAGCGAACGTGGTAAAACGTCGTACGTTCTCGGCAAATAGTGGAGCTCAATTGGCGGAATTAAATGGTTTTCAAAGATGTCGATGTCATGCGTCAATAGCGGCGATCGTAAAATGGTGCAAGATTACATCAGTTTGTACACGACTGCAATGAGAAAATAGGCTTCCGAGTTGTCTAACGCCGTAGAAAATGACAATAATCCACCCGTGGGATATCCGTTATGCTAATTGAATCGCGAATTAAGTTTTTTTCTGCCTGTATGATTTTAATTTTTAACGTTTGTAGATGTCTCTCAAGAGATACATCGGTAGAAATAAAATTTATGTCAGTGAATAAGTTTATTTATGCAATGTCGATGAAACTTTGTTAGAAAATTGTATTCCGCAATGAAATATAAATCTTTATCTACATGTCAGTCGTACTTTCTCGAATGTATTACACGGAAAGAATCATTTTGCTTATCTTAATATATAGATCCGAAAATAATTCTGGCCAATCAAAATTATTGACGCTTAAGCATGATAATAATCCTGAAAAAATTTTTGATACTTTACATAATTATTTTGGTGGCTGGTGAAAATTATTTTCACATTTATATTTCAAATTTTTAGACACTTCAGCTAGCAAAAGTTTTCTTTCCATCTTGAAAATCTTGACTTTATAAAGTTTATTTTATTAACGCAACTTTTCGACAGACAGAAAGAATTCGCGTCTCTCAAAATCGTGCAATCGTGAAATTTATAGACACGTGTTTGCGACATGAATTTATATACAAGCAGGGCTTGACAATGAGATTCAAGTCGAACAAGTATGAGCTAACACTTTTCAATGTCTTTTTACATGCAACTTGCAGTTTTTAACATGCAGGATGCCGCTGACCGACCGTACTTCCTCCCAATTCCACACATACTATATAATCAACGAAGAATCGCGTTAAAAATAAAATGTAGCGTTCATTCTAAAGTTTTGTCTGTGAAACAATAAATTGATAAACCGACTCGATATTTACGATGCAAATATATCGCATGATTTTTCACTTTTCCGTCAATGAAAATAATTCATTATATTCATCTTTACTTGTCTTCCACGTGAATATTTTATCAAGATCAACGTGTTAAAAAAATATTTTTAAAAAAATATTTTTAGATTTTCTCTACTTTAACATTCAACAATATTTATCACGGTGGAAGTCACGATTATTTAACACCACTTTGCATATACGGAGTATGTAAACAATTCCTGCTCTTAATTTTAATAACAGAATCTCCGAGCTATTTGGAATCCTCCTCAATTAAAATCGAATCGAGACGCTTCTATTTCATTAAACGCTATAAAATATGTAAAGGGCAAACAAACAGGGTAAATATTCGTTTAAATTTCTATGCAAACTTTCGTTATCAGATTTTCAATCCGAAGCTCAATTTAACGTTGCATTACATTAAAAGATTACTTATTGCGACTTCGCTTGAAATATTCTCCGAGGAGTCCGCGGACTTCAAAACTCTGTCATTAAGATCAAAGGCGGGCGCTATCGAGACACCCGAGAGATCCAACGAGAAATCCTAATTGAACGTTCATAAATCCGTCGAGTTGTGAGGTCTACACACGACTTGAATGCAGCAAGAGTATAATAGTCGTGTCTAATGAAATCCAACGCGACGTTGCATTATACACACACGCGCGCGCGCGCGCGCGCGCGCGCGTGTGTGTGTGTGTGTGTGTGTGTGTGGTGTGTAGAACGAAAATTCGCGCGGTCGGGCGCGGAAGAAGAAAGTAGGAAAATCGATAAACCGATTTAAATTAAGGCAGATAAACGAGAAACGCGGCCGAACTACTGAAAAAGAGGGGTCCGAAGTGCGAAAGCACGGAAATAAAGCGCGTCTCGCGGGCACGTCATTGCGGCGGGCCCGTTGATTATCGCTGATTAGAGAGACTCGTCGACTCTTCACAACGTCAGCTCTTCTGAAAAATTAAATACGTCCGAACACCGTCTCTCGGTCCAGCATGAATGGAATGCTCGGTTGTGTATTAATTTTTATATGTATTTTATATACTTTTTGATAATATATAAAACATATAAAAATATACATAGCTTTTATTATATATATATATATATATATATATATATATATATTTATGTATATATGTATGTATTTATGTATATAAGTTGCAAATAAAATAAATATTATATATAATAAATATTTAATATATAAACATTTAATATTTTTGTGTTGCGCGCGCGCGCGCGTGTGTGTGGGGGGGGAAGGGGGTCGCATGGCACTTTCGCTATGCCATGTACTAAGCTCGTGACGTTTAATGCACAAGTGCACGTTGAATAATGGGAACGCAGCACGAGAATTTTTATCGCGTAAAAAAAAAGGAAAAACTCGATCCATCTCGTAATGAAACGCATGTCGACTTTTGAGTAATCTAACAGAGATCGAGAGCGTTTTCCAAATGTTGAATAAACGGAATTCTATTTACTTCGGACTTTCTACAGTTGATAGAAAGTCCGTGAAAATTGTACAGGGCGTTCCAAATTCGTTATTCGTCATGTTCTTTAGAGTCAAGGAATTTCTTCGTTTACGTAACATTATGTTCTTTTCATCGGCGGACATATTGAAAGAAGTCACAGTTATTGTTTGCGATTTATAATTTACCTTCATGAGATAAGCTTCAAAGGTATACATAAAAATCGCAAGTCCTCTTTCTTCATTTAATGTCAAGCGGATTAACTTTTTCTCAACTTTCGAAGATCAAGTTTTCTCAAGAGAAGTTTAAGAAAATCTGTTTATAAAAAGAAACTGTTAAAAAAAAATTAAGAAGTTGTTAAAAACTATTAATAGAGAATAAGTAAAGGAAAGAGTAAATTATAGGACACCCTGTACAAACCCTGATTAAATTAACCAAACGTTTGTCAATGTTTGCATGTACTTGTCATTATAAATTCATCGTATTTTTTAAATTTTTATAGAGCGGAACAAAGTTTCTATTAATATATCTTCTATCTCGTTAGATCTCTCGTTTGAAATTGTTTCGCCTATAGATTATTCATATGTCAAAAATATATACAAAATACAATGCCCTCCTTTTATGCAAGACAATCTTTATTAGAAAAATACTTACATATTTTTCTAATAAAGATTGTTTTGCGTAAAAATTTTCCGTGATTTGAAACGATTTTTGAAAAAACGTTCATATTACATTCAGTTAAACCGAAAGACACCCAAGTGGCTAATATTTTTGTGATGATGACCGTAATATAAATCCAAGTTTTTCCGTCAAAAACATACGTATTTAAAAACAGAAAGAATTATTTTTAACTATTTTCAATTTAATATTGTAACGTGATTTGTAATTTAATATATGTCATTGCTCCACTTTTTCTCTGCATTGAAATTAAATATTAATGTAAATATTAAATATTAATTCGATCTAAACGACTTTCCATTCATCCATTCATCCATTTTATATTTTTATGGAAAAAAAAGAATAGATACAAGAAATTAATTTTATGTAATTTTTCTACATAAAATAAAATTCGTTAAATCTTCGCATTACTTTCAAAGATTAACGTTAGGTTTGTCTCTGTGAGGAAAAATAACATTCTGTTACATCGGTATTTAAGGACCATCAATAATTAAGCCAAAGCACAACTTGAGGCACTTAATAACTACATTGATTATTTAGAGAACGGTAAAGTTTGTCGTACGTCCTGCAATAATAAACCATTATTTCTCCTCTAATAGGAAATTTCGAGATGTAAAAAGCATGTACCGGTAAACGTGGAATTTTGGAGAAAAAGGCATATCGAGGGGAGTATTACCGGGGAGTATAATCGTCACAAAGCGCGTCTCGTCGCAACGAAAGTATTTCCACGAGAAAAGATTAGATTTATCCCCGGCGAGGACTACACAGAAATATTCCCGTCACGGTACCCCACCGTCTGGGTCCCCCGTTCTCTCGAGCCGCGTACTCGGCAAGTGCACGCGCGCGCGCGCGTGCACCCTTACGACAATCGCGTGTATTCACCGGCTAGGGGCGGCGGCCGCAATTGCGCGGGGTTCGTTAATATACCCATTGTGATATCGTGGCGGGCACTGCCGGTACGGGTATTCCTTGCTGCCGGTGGCGAATTGTTGCTGCTGCTGCTGTTGCTGCTGCTGCTGCTGCTGCTGCTGTTGCTGCTGCTGTTGCTGCTGCTGCTGAGGCTGGTGCTGATGCTGGTGCTGCTGCTGGTGCGGACCGTGGGGGTGCCATCCACCGCTGCGGGGATGGGACGGTGCCGGGGCGCGCGCGTGCGGCCCCGACGGGGCGCCATTGGCCATCACGGCTCTGTAACGTCCATGCATGCCCAAGCCGCGATGCTGATGACTCCCGGGGCCATTCATCCTTCGTCCTGTCCCTCTTTCCTTTCGCTCGCGCCCCCCCCTCTCTCTCTCTTTCTCTCTCTCTCTCTCTCTCTCTCCTCTTCCTTTCTCTCACTCTCTCTCGTCGTCTCTCCTTCCTCCTCCTCCTCCTCTCTCCCTCCTCGCCGTCGTCGTCGTCGTCGTCGTCGTCGTCGTCGTCGTCGTCGTTGTCCTCGTCCTCACGCTTGACGCGAGGAGATTGCTTCTCGATGTGCGCGTGCGACGCTGGGTGCAGCCAGCCGGCTGTCCTCTCGCCTCTCTCGTAAGATCACCCGCTGAACCGATCGACGTGCACCGAGAGGAACCTGGCGAGGGTATTCAAACGTTATCTGGTCGGCGAGTATTCCGAACCGATGCGACCGGGTCTCTCTTTCCCTTTTCTCTCTCTGTCTCTCTAACCCCTTCCCCGGGCTTGACATTTCGAAACGCGAGACGGACGCGTCGAGGGAACATCCGAATCCGAGTTGGCCGCCACCGATATATCCCGCGCCCCGCCGATACTTTGATATTTTTTTCGCCATGGAAACTCGCTTGATCGTGTCGTGTTTATTCCCTGAAATACGCGATACACGTGCCCGCCGCTCGAAAACGCCGCGAGTCCGGGGTCCGGAGAGCCTTTCGACGGAGATTTCCTTTCGGGGTTTTATCCTCTCGATGAGAAACAAATGGCTCGCCTCGCGAGAACGTTTTAAACCGTGTCCGTGTCCGTGTCAAATAATCGATCGAGGCGGAAAGAAATGTGTGTCGCGAAGCCGCGGGAAGAAACGTGTCTCTCTCTCTCTCGCGATAGGCCACACTTATCCGCGGGCATTATCGAAAGACTTGTCTCAACCCGAGGAGATACCCGAGTTAAAATAACCCCGTCGGGGTATCGATTGTCAAAGTAAACGACTTGCGCAACCGATTGGCGAACCAAATCGGATGCGTTCCTCATGGGCTACGCCCAATAATTTACGGTTTCTCATCGGCGTTGAACATCCTATCCTAATCATCCCTGGCCGAGCCCTCAATTTTCCCTCGCTCGTCCTTAGCTCGCGACCAGTGTTGCTAAAATATGTATACCTCATATGCGATACCGCGCGCGGCATTTCCTGGTAACCGCACCTACGTCTAAATGCAAAGTTGCCCGGAGCTGCGTTTCTCGAGAGTTTAAATAGCCTCATGGAAATTCATTAGACCCACGTTTACTATTTCAGGCATAGAGATCAATCACTTTATGGAAAAGCCGCGATATCGTTTTTTAGCATCACCGACGCGCCGTTAAATACCGACGAAAAAAATTTCCGCGCTGCGTATTTATTAAAAAATTACGTAACGATATGGAAGTTATCATTGCAGTTCCGATTGCACGTAATAAAGTATAAATAGTGAGCAAAGTACAGGTAGACGTTTTATTCAAGAAATAACAATTTTGGCTGGCGAGATAACATTTTTACCAACACTGGGCTA